AGGCAACTTGAGAGCGACATATCATAACCACTAGACTATCGAGGATAGGATAATGGAATTCCCCGACCGGGAATCGAACCCGGACCTTGTCGGACGCTTCTGGTAATCACTGATCGTGATAACTTGAGAGCGACATATCATAACCACTAGACTATCGAGGATTGGATATCCATCGTTATTATTCGTAGCTCATAGCACAGTGGTTAAGAAAACTTGTCCTCTCCCTCGCTTCAAACCCTTTCTTTTTCCTTTCATTCTTTACCGAGATCCGCTTGCACTTTCATGGTTGCGAAAATTGCGGACCACGTAGATGGTCGTGATAACTGTATGAATGAACATTGTTGACCCTGAAGGGAGATGCCGTGATGGAGATGGTGCGACGAGGAGGTTAGTGGGGACGTAAACCATCATAGCGCGGATGATGGGCGACGAACGGGCGGGGCCATGGCAATTCCCCGATCTATACCCAGACATAGAAGGCAAGTGAGCTTGTGGAGTTGAACAAAACGGTCGGATACAAACAAAAGCAATTCGCAGGATCGCTCGTTTTCTGGGGCCAGATTCGCGACTCATCAAGACTGTACACGATGCACGTATCTGATCTCGTTTAACGTACAATGACATCTACGAAGTTCAATGGCACAGGCCCGACAAGACCCTGTACGCTCATAGCTTTGAGGCATCTCGCGCCACCTTGGCTTTGATGAGGCCGCTGTAAAGCGAGAGGGAAAAAGGAGCGCATAATTTGTTTCAACGCAAATCTGGATAGCCCCTTCCACTTGTTTATTTCTCACCTTGGGTGCTGACTCGGAAGGAAGACCTCTGCGTCCTTCTCATCAGTGTTCTTGAGGCCCATAAAGCTCAAGTCGATCGGAATATAATGCTTGTTCGGTAACGAGTACTCGACGTCTTTGATCCACATCCCGCACTTGGCTTTTTCTTCCTTTGCGCTCACATCGTTAAGGATCGTTTCGCACATGCGGTACAGCGTCGCTTGCACGCTCGCGCTGACATCGGTCGCAAAGATGCGCAGCGTGTGCGCTGTCACCGCGCGATAGAGCGTGCAGAAATCCGGAACTGCTTCCGGTGTCTGCAAAAGTGTGGAGATGGGCTTGGCGGGGAGGCCGAGGGTGTCTTCCATCAGAGCAGACGTCACAGACGTCGAAGATTCGATCAGCTTTCTCCTGTCTTTCGCGTCCGAAACTTGGCATGGGTACTCACACCAACACTCGATGCTTGTGCTGAATATGCGATCATGTACCTCCTTGAGCGTGGTGTACTCGTCCCTCCAAAAGCCGTGGAAGGCACTGCCTGTGCTCTTGAAAACCAGCAGATCCTTCAACCCGCTGCGAAACTCTTTGACGCGCAGCTTTCCGTCCTGCGGATCTCTCTCAGCGAGCAGTCGTACAAGACGCTTCTCGTCGCCATCGCGTACGAAGCTGTGGCCGTGCGGTTTCCCATCAAGTGCGATGCGGCTCCACTTGAGCATCTGGATATCGAGCTCGACGCCCTCAACGTGCTTATACGTGCTCAGAAAATGCTGTGCGACATGCAGCGCGTACCTCTCCGGGCACAACACATCCGAGCCCGGCAGTCGCTTTGCGATGACGTTGAGCGTGTTCTTGATGCTGTCCGTCGCGACGACAGGCGAATTGTCCGCTCTGATGTATGAAGGGGCGAATGCTGCACCTGAGAGAAGGCAGCGCACGTTGTACTCGACCACGTTGTGATGCTGCGGCTCTTCGGGCGAACGCACGACGCGCAGGATGCGGACAAGGTCTTTTCCGTAGGAAGAGGCGACGAGGTGAACCATTTTGGCACGTGAGCGGCGCGGGTCAGTCTATCAGCTTGATGGTCTGAGGTCGGGGCGAGCAGGAGAGAATACAACGAGGTATCTGAAGAATTGGGTTTGTGTCCAGTACAACTAGACCGGTATGTATGGGACACAGATCTGACCAGGGCTCGAGTTTGATATACTGCATAAGAAGCATATCGGGAAAGAGCACCACTGGGGCTGGACCTGATAGTGCAGCCTTTCGCATATGTACTCTGATCTCACAGGCGTCACCCAGCAGGCAGATCGCGCACGAAGCCCATGTGCGTCTAACCTGGATCGATGCTTTTCCGGCTAACGGGCCGTTGCTTCCGTGGTATTGTTCCGAGTCCCGGATCGGCGGAACTAGGGCAGCCAACCCAATTAGAGGTCGAATCTGCGGCGACTGACGGGGAGGGCATGCCCGCCCGCGGGGGGGAAGGGAGTTCTTACAAACGCGTGACGCGCTTCTCTGCAGTCTGCAAGCTGTAGCACGAAAGGACACCACAGCCCGCCAACAGAGAGAACTGTCTCTTGCATGCAGAGTCGTAGACCCTTCTAACATCGCTCCACCCCGTCTGGCACAACCTCATTGCTTCTGAAAATCCTATGCGTCGTCAAGGTTTCCCGACTGGCTGAAGAGCACCCGGCAACAATGGCATCGTCGCGTCCTTCCGTCTATCCCTCCGCGTCGCTCGCGTCGACGAATGCCGCATCGGGGTCTGCGCCTTCCAGCACGACCGCACAGCGGCTCGCGGCAAAGCACGCTGAGCTCGATGGCCTGCGCGTGCTCAAAGAACAAAGCTCGCGCCTCGCGAGGGAGATCGAGAAGCTCGGCGATAGGGTTGATGGACTCGTCGAGGGCGGTGATGGTGAGTTGAATCCATCCATCGCTGCCGTTGCTCGCCCATGCGACGCGCGCCCAGAGAAGGTGGAGCGATGTCTGTTTGGCTCCCGACGCGTCTTTTCGATCAATGCAGCGCGTGGGGTAGCTGCATGCTAACCCTCTTTGACTCTCCTGCGTGCCTTTCTCTTGCACAGCTTTCGCGTCCGTCATGTCCTCCTGGCAAGGAGTCTTCCGCGCAATCCAAATATCAAGAGGTGCGCATCAAGCCGCTCCCATCCTGTCCATCGTGACGCGTGCTGACCATCGGTTAACCTCTCGCTCGCTTGATCGTACATCGCTCTTAGCCGACATGACGTCGCTGGCCGCGTCAACCGCCGCGCTGGTCTCCGGCGGCGTTGCCGCACCTGGAACAGGTGGCTCCTCGCTGGCCGGCTCGGCAGCGGCCGGCCTCGGCGCAATGGACGACGAGCAGGTCAAAGTCGGTACACTCGTCCGCATCCCCGTTGACACGGACGCTTCTGTTGCTGCTGCGGGGGAGGAGGCCGCACGTGAGGCGAAGGAGGAAGAGTAAAGCGTCATGTGATGGGGAAGGGCATGCCAAGATCAGTGATGGGCAGGGATACAGAACTGAGACGGAGTAGGGGTAGGAGTGAGGATGACCAGAGCGTGCAGGCGAAAGGGACCAAGGGGACGCTGTGCAAGCAAATCGGCTATAGGCGGGTGCACTACCAGCAGGCAGGCGCCAGCGAGGGGGGTCAGAAAAGGAAGAGTGTCGGTTTGCTGCAAGCAGGCAGATGCTCGACAAGAAGCAAGTGTGCCGCGAGATCACCAGGGACCACACAATGCACGATGCACCAGGCATGGCGATACACGCGATCATACTTTTCTTCCCCATTGCTCGTGCACTACGCCTCAGCACCACGTCACGCCATGTCCGGTTGGGAGCATTTGTCAGCACGCGCCTCAGATCAAGAAATGGAGGGACATGCCCGCACGTTGCGACCTCATCCCCGCTTGCGCAGCTTGACCTCATCCCCAAGCTCGAGGTCCACGCTATGCTGAAGCATTTGCAACGCCTCACACTCCGCTGCATTCGGTCTTTCTTGTACGAAAGCAGGGCGCGAGCGATGAGCGTCGACACGAGGCTGGCGGGACGCGTCTTCGCTGTTCCTGCGCCTCTGCCGTACTGCGCATGGAGGACCCTCATCATCACGCGTAGGTGTAGCATTTCACGATGAAACGCGCAGCTCAGGTCACCATCCACATCCCACTCTCCTCCACCTAGCGTCAGAGGCGACTGCCGTGCACACGTGGGTCGTGTATCCTACATGTAGTGCGCCTTTCACGCGTTCGATCACCAGCAGCGTCACGCCTTGGCGGATGGACAAATGGTTACCGCTGGGCGCATGGGAAGACCAGATCGATAGCCGTGATGACTGATCCCCCTCGCCCCACTTTGGTATGCGTACAAGTTGTACACCATCCAAGTGTGCAACTCCGCTCTTGCGCCCCGGTTGGTTGCAGGCTTGCGACACTATGTACATGCATATGTACCGGTTCCCAGGGGCTCGCGTCTCCCTGCTTATCAGTAGTTGCATTTGCTTGATCAATGTCTCACCTTGGCTGTAAGTCGCAACCGAACATGCTAGAGCAAGCCATTTCCAGCGTCATGCCGCTAGGTGCATGGGTATCTTCTGGAGTGTTCAAGTGAAGAGGCTGTCGCATGTCCAATCCGATTCCCCCACTTTCCATTTCCGGTTCGTTTTGCTCATCATCCCAGCGTCACAAAACATGAATGAAAGCAATGCTGACGCAGTGACGAGGCTTTACTGGACGATGAGGCGCAACAGAGAGACCGTCGGGGAGCTCTTGGGGATGGGGGTGCTGGCCAGTGTGCGTCTGTGCTGACGAACCAAGAGAAACATGAAGATAAAAACGTCTTCTTGCTCTTGCCTGGTTGCTCCCCGCCAATCGACTACTCTTTCTGCTTTCTGCTGCTTTCCTTATCTCTCGGACTGCGGGGCAGTGGGAACGAACCCAATCGCAATCACATTCACATTCACATAGCAGCAAGCCACGCTAGCCACCCTCTGTCGTGCAGTGCCGCCGGCCTTTATCAAGCCAGGGCGCACTCACGTCATTTTTGTCGTTGTCATCTCCGCCATGCCATCCATCTCCCCCCACCCGCCCCGCGGCGCGCCTGCTGCTGCGTGCTGGCTGGGAACCACACCAGCGCTCTAGCTGCTGCTGCCACTGCCTGCGCCTCATTGCATTCACCTTGTCTCAATGAGTGTGAGAGTTAATCACACCAGCCCCATCCTCCATTCCCATCCCCATCCATCCATCCCTACCCACCCCAATCCATCCCCTCACCCTCCATCGTGCTCATCGCTTGCCCGAGTTGCTGGCTCTTTTTCCACACCGACCTTTCACCTCCATTGGCAAACACCTTTGATATCGTTATCGTCATCGACAGCCACAAGATCCCGAGCAAGGAGCATCCACAACATAGCGCTTGTGCTCCTGCGTGCTCAAGGACAGGACAAGGAACAGCGGCAAGCACTCCGATCGACCATTCAACGTCGCTGTTGCATCCGATCAATCACAGATCAAGGGTCCGCCTCAACTGCACCTTGACAAGCGGCTGTGCTACATTCAGTCGTTCGAGACGAAGCTGCTGCTGCTGCTCCTTGTGAAGAAGTGGCCTGTCTCTTTATCAGCAGCGCCGCGCCGCGCACAGTTGCAACGAAACACAGACGATTGCAGCAGCCTCTAAAAGAGACTTGCTCCACCAGAGACGACAATATGGTCTTTGGCATCGGCGAGCACCGCGGCCATAATGGAAAGCAGCACGAGGAGGAGGCGCGCGGTAGGGAGAGAGCGCCGGCCATGCCGACCGGACGCGGCGGTGTAGGCAATGTGAGTGTGCACAAGGAAAGCATCCTTCAAAGAAGGCCTTGAGACTCTTGTGTTAGATGCGCGCACACGCGAGAGCAGGCTATATGCTACAGAAACAGCGTGTATGCGCACCCACAACTGTGGGACGAGCATGGAAAACGGCTGGACGACGCAGCTCTTCGCCTGGAGACCCAGGTTTGGGGAACAGAGCGCATCCTTGTCTATCTCATTCCTGCCGCTCTTCTTGGCTTTGGCCGCGATGGGGCCAGATGTAGGCTATCATCAAAAGCGCCACTGACGCTCCTTCCTTTCCTTGCGGGCTTTGCAGCTTCGATCTCCTTCGCGCGGTCGCAGCAGTGAGCCCGCCGCGGACGCAGCCCGCACAGCGGTCGTGAAGACCGTGGCGGTCCTGCATGCCGGGCGTGGCGGTGTGGGCAACGTGCGCTCACCGTCGCGCGACCCTCTGGACCGCGCCAAGACCCGCGACGAGGAGAAAAAGGAACACTCACTCCAGGAGGACGCGCTCAAGAACGTCTCCGTCCTCCATTCGGGACGCGGCGGCGTGGGCAACGTCCGTTCGCCCTCGCGCGACCCGCTCGACCGCGCGCGCGCACGCGATGCAGAGCAGAAGGAGCACCAGGCACAGGAGAGCTTCATGAAGGCCGAGCTCGCCGGCCCGCACACGGCCGGCAGGGGCGGCGCAGGAAACTTTGCTGTCGGTAGCAACGGCGACTCGGCGAGCCGCAACGACAGCCGCGAACGGGGCCGTGGCAGTCGAGCGGCCAGCGGCGAGCACGAAGGCAGCACCGAGCGTGGACGCGGTGGTGGCGGTGTCAGCAGCATCCTCCGCTCGCTGTCGCGCTCGCGCTCGCGGCAGCGGGACGTGTCCATAAGCAACGGCACCGGCCATGCGGCCTCCGCATCCGGCTTGGCGGCGGCGGCGCGCAGCTGCGAGGCCTCACCCGCGCGAAAGAGCAGTGGCGCGGCGCCCGCCGCGACACCCGGCGGCCACACGCTCACGCAGGTCAGCGAGTACGAAGGCGGCGACGCGGCTGGGACCATCAAGACGAACGAGTCCTCGTCCGACGCCCATGGCACTGGCGGTGCGTCATGAGCGTATTCTCCCGCGCTTGCTTCGCGCTCGCCATCGCTTCGTGTTCGCTGTCTCCGCTCGGCGTGGCTTGCTGAATCCAACATGCCACATACCTCCTCCAATGCGTCCGCGCACGTACCCAACGTTTCCTCGCCTCTTGCGCTTCCTTTTTCGCTTTCTTTTGTGTCTCCCCGTTTGTAAAACAAAGACAAAGACCAGGGGCACATGCACAGGCGCAGTGTGATGCCAGCCAGCGACCTAGCTCATGGTAGTGTTGCTGCGCGACCATTCCCCTGAATCTCTCGCGTTGCGCGGCACTACGTCACGTCACCGCTCCGTCCCTTGTTACGGCTTCTTTTTGCCCAACTTTTGTACTCAGGCTCCGCTTAGAAATCTCACCAACGCGTCACTAATGCTAGGCGTACGAGTGGATGCATACCGATCCTGCGCGAAGCATCGTGAGGAACAACATGCTGCGGTGCCTGGCGTCTGTGTACAGCCAAACGATGGTGTGCAAAGGCGGGTCAGCACTGCATGTACATGTGCAGCTGGCTGCATTTGTTCCGACACCTGACCCTCCCATGGCGCCAGCCTCAGCCCGCAGAGGGCTGAGGTGCGAATCATGCAATGGCTGGAGGAAGCAGCATCGGCGGCGTGATCTCGGCGCGCTTCTCTTTGCCTGCGAGTGCTTCGACGAGCGCCAGTGCCTTTTTTCTCGACCGAGCGTGCCGGTACGAGACGAGGGGAACGGCGTCAGCATACATGCTTGCTTTGATGTTCTCGACGCGGGATGCCCACAAATTCGAATGCAGTTCCTGGCCCACGACTGAATAGGTGAGCAAGGGCGGGCAAAGAAAAGCATGTTATGTACATGCCTTCATCAGTCCGTGTCCTAGCAGCAACAGCCATGTGCAAAAAGAGCTTACCTGGTGATAAGCCCGTCGGTAACGACAACACGACTGGAATGATGAGATGGGACGGGATTAGAAGGCAGCTCTGGGCCCGCGCTTCTACACTTCATGGGATCATTTGGTGTCCCACTCACTCCTCTGAGTAATTAAAGTCCTTGAAATGGTCCTTGACGCTCGGATGCGAAGTGATCGGCTTATCCTTGATCCCTGCTGCCTTGGCCGCCAGACTACCGGCGCAGATGCACGCGACGAGCTTGCCTTGTCCATATGCAGCTGCCAACAGCTTGCTCACGTTTTCGTTGCCCGAGATGGTCTCTGCGCCCTTCAGGCCGCCGGGGACGATCAGCGCATCGTACTCGAGTGCAGCGCCTCCCTCAAGATCCAGCAGGCGCAGATCCGGCACGATCTTGACGCCGCGCGAACACGTCACATACGACGTCCCGTGCGGGTCCAGCTCCGTGTTGTTGTTCGATGTGCCGACCCAGACGGACTGCACCGTGACGCCTCCACGGACTGGATGCCATCGTGTAGGATAGCAGGGATTGCGAATGCCAGCATAAGGCTCCCTTCAATTCCCTTGCAAGCAGACATAGACGCTCTGTCTGCCTCTCACCTAGCACATCGTACGTGATCGTGTACTCAGACTCCTCCGTCCCCTCCGCGATAAAGATCAACGCTTTTTTCGACATGTTGTTTGTGATCTTCTTGATCAACGGATGTATGTGTCCCAGCTGCTCGATTGCAAGCGTAGGAGCCCGAGGTGTAAGCACACAAGCTGAAACTTGCTGCGAGGACAAGCAAGAGCAGGCCGGATGGATGGGGATGCATTCGATTGCATGAGACTTTTTAAACCGAGCCAAGTCAATCTACAAGCGCCGATTTTTGCGACGTGCCAGCGCCCACACGACAGACCGGCCTCATCTTTGCTATGGAACTCATGGGCGGCACAACGTAGGTCACATCGTGATCGCATCGAATGGCGCGGTACTCCGTGAGTTTCTTGCCAGTGCAAGTCGCGAAACCTCGAGCGCGCTGGTGACGTCGACTGCAGCAAATCATGCCAAACAGCATCGTCGCAACTCTCTCCAGTCTCATGCGCAAACAAAGGCTCGCTTGCTGCTCACTTTTTCTGCAGGAAGGCTTTTAAAGCTTCGATTGCTGTGTGGTTCCTCCTCAACAGCGCGTCCTCTGACCTCATCAAGCTCAAACTAGCGCCGGCCTTTGGGGAGGCAAGATGCGGATGGCGTTCTTGTCTCCCTTCGTTTGGGCTGGAGAGTAGCAATTCGACATATTCTCGGCCGAGAGTGTTCCCCCAAAGCTGGACGCGACCGCACGCGACTTCCCTCTCCGCTCCAAGGTGGAAATGCTACGCGGCAGGAGAACAGCGGCGGAGAACGCGTCTCGTGCGGATCTGTCGATAGGCCAATTGGGCAGGCATCACCTTCAACCCTTCCTTCATCATTCCTCAACTGCTTTTTTCCCTTTCTTCTCGCTCTTGTTTTCCCAAGGGGCCAACTATGCGCGCGCCTCCCTGTCGATCCGCAGCCCGCCGAGACTAGCTCAGACGATGCACCGCCCCCGAGTGTGGCCTCGGTCTTCCAGGTGTCATTGCCCAACTGGATGGCAGACGGGCGGAGCCTGGCAAGGCGCGTTGTAAGCTCCATGCTCCTGGGTCCTTCTACCTGGATACGGCGGGTTCATTGCTTCTTCAGAGCCGGCGCCCTATCAGCTTGTTCCCAAAGCAGGGCTTAAAGAGGTAACGGACGAACCTAACCCTAAGTTCAATCGTAGTCCAGAAGTATACCTTCTCCTTCGTCTGCCGCGCTATCGACGTCTCGCCGAGCCAGTCACATGGAGATGATACGCGGGCACTGCGAGAGGAAAATGAAGGAGAGGCAGGAAGACATACTTCGTCTCGAGTAAGAGAGGAGCGATGATCCCTCTCTGGACGTCTGACTTTCGTCAGTTGCTGGTCCCTTGTCATCCAACGCGTAGAAATACGACGAGGAGTTCGAGGAACCCAGACGAGCGAGCTTCTAGGACTTTCAATCACCCTCTCTTATATCTCAGCCCTCTGGGTGATAAGAGGGGGTCTAGCACGGCGCAGACTTTTCTTTTCAGTCTTTACGGCTCTGCCGGTTTTTCGCAGCCTGTTGTTGTTCCTCCGAGCACAGAGGTGCGCCTACGTCTTCTACCTCGGGAAGCACGTGAAGCCCCAGCACCATCCACTCTCTTTGTTCTCCACTTGCTTGGACACTAGAGCCAAGGTTGCGCGCGGGAGCAGCTAAAACCAAAGACTTGGCAGCGCATAGTTGATACTCTTCTAACCGGGCCGGCTCGCGTATCGCCATGCGTAAGCTGTGAGCTCTTTCTCACTGGCAGCCTCCACTCATCAGACATCTCTGCAAGGCTCGAGCAGTGCAGCGCCTTCGGGTCGTGCATCACGCTTCTCTGAAGAGTTCAGAGAGGGCTGCGCTAGAGTTACGTGCTCGCTTTTGCTCGCTTTGCTCGTCGTTCGTCTCGTCAGAGGCGTCGATGAAACGGAGCTTCGGTGTGGGAGGAGGCCAGATCATACACCAATTTTTCTACATCTTTTCTGCAGGCAGGCGGCTGTGTCCGTGCGACGCAGGCCATGCTGCAATTATGCCAGAACACGGAATGCTGTAAAGAGCCGTATGCTACAATGGAATATTAGTCATGATCAACCTCTCTTTCACCGGGACAGTTGGCTTCCAAATCTGCCAGATCCTCGTATTGGCAGCCACAAAAGAGACAATATGCATGCGCTTTGCGCAGGTGGGCCAGCGTGATGTCGAGCCGAATGGAGGGCTGTAGGGGAGGGAGAGAAGGTGTTCGCGCGTCAATCGTTGCCAGCAAAGGCATGTGGGATAATTTCACTCACATCTAGAGAGCAGAACGCTTTCGCCTCGGCTGCTTGGTTCTGCACATTCGACAATTCTGCACCATCATGTGTTCCGCTATCAGCCGCGGCAGTGCATTCCAAGGTGCCATCCGGCGGCGCTGGATTTACACCATCTTCCTGCTCATTCTCGTCCTTCAAAGGTGGTCGATCTCGCTCCGCGTCAAGAGCCTGCCGCACCTTGGTCTCTTGCCATGAAAGACTGGACGTTGCCTCTTGCACACCTGACGCGCACGTAATCTCATCCAGTTGAGTGCCGAACGCCCGTCGCAGAATGTCGCGCCGATTATCGTCAAGCTGTTCGTGCCAGCTCAGCTCCAACCACAGCGGATCGATCCACAACGGCGAGTACTCCAACCTGAGACCCTTCCGATCGAGCTCTTCGCACGATTTGCGCGCCTTCGATAGCAGTACTTCGGTGTGCTTCAGCGCTTGTTCTGCGGCAATGCGCGCGCGAAAGTCTTCGATGACTTGTGCTGTTGGTCCTGCTGAGGATGTCTGGGACGCCTTTGCAGCGGCCGCTCGCTGGATCGCCAACGATACCTCTGCCGATCCAAGACCGTGCCGCACGCGGCCTTGCCACCTCTGATCGATGGCCACAGGGAGAGCGAGCGCCGGAAGAACCTTCTTGTTCGGGGCTCTGTCTGCAGCTGGTGCGTCTAAATCCAGCGTACTTGGTAGATCTCGCCGCTGACCCAGAGTATCACCTGGTTTGTACCCCATCGCAAGCATCATCTTGAGGGCTTTATTGCCCGTATCCTCAGCACAGTGTTCGCTGCCTGGCGTCCCATGTGCAGCGGCATACGGAGCGTCCACTTCGAGCAGGTTCCGTCGCAGCCCTTCATCCCGTGCCTCCCGCTCCCTTTCGGCGCGACTTTTAATGCGGCTCCGTGCACTCGCATCTGCTACCTCTTTTCGCCTGCGCTCGCTGTACGTCGTCGGAGTCGATGATGAGGCGCGTGCTGCGCTTTTGGACGGGGCTTCGGCTCGTATGAGAAACGCTTCGCTCATGTAGTCTTCCTCCTCTTCCGCCGCGACGGGTGCCATGTTGACTACCAGGTGATTGGAGAGGGGCCAGGATGACGCACGGTGCCGCACCTGAAGCTGTTCTAGAGATGAGTCGGCAGGCTTCGAAGAGATCCTGTATGAATCTATACATGTAGAGCCTGAGTGCATGGAACGCCAACATAAAAAGAAACCCACCCACGGAGGCTCCGAGCTTGGTCGCGTTTGGAGGCATTGCGTGCCAACAGAGCGCAGCATTCACGCAATAGTGTGCGCTCCTTTCTTTCTTTTCCTTCTGAATTCCATCAATTCAGTATGATAGGTCTCATAGTGTTGTCGAGTAGCGACTGTCTGCAACAACCCAACCCCAGTGGCTTATATTTCGGTATCAATATTTACGGCATCCGGACTGAATGGGTGGATACACACGGTCGCACCAACAAATCAAAAATTAGTTGAAAATATCCATCGACAGGTGTAGGTTAGCGTTCATCGTTCACCACGCCTTCTGCCTCGCCGACTCTCTTCGACCTCACTGCACTTGCATCACACTGTGTCTGCTTCTCTCCGGTCTCTCGCTGGCATATATACTTATTTTTACGACTGCCGCCATCTCCCTCGCTTCTGGCTTCCCACGCCCCTCACTGTAGCTCACCTGCAAGTTCGTGCTCTCGAGCAAGCTGAAGCATCATTGTCATCAGCTGGTCTTATCTCATCAAGCATCTTCACGCTGTTGCGGCTTTGATAAACAGGTTTACTCTTAGCCCTTCTCCGAGTCTCTTTTGCAACTTTGGAGTTTGGTACAAAATCCAACTCGGAGCGCTACGCACAACCCTGGGACACACCGAATCGCCGAAACTCACCCTTACGCACAAGCTAGACATACTTTAGCTAGCTCCCGCGCTTCCCTACGAGACGGCTCATTCAATGTCTGGCGCAAATTGACCTGGCTCTTGCTGCTGCGAACGCTAAAGTACAACTGCGAGGCCGGCTATTGCGGCTTCTCATCTTCCTTCGATATGACTCACATTCAGCATCAGCAAGGGTCCACGTCCTATCGCACCGTCAGAAGGCACCTCTTTGGCGGTGCAATCACTGCTGAATTACCACAAAGCTTCATCGATGCGAGGTGCGGCCCCAAGGCAAACGTGCAGACCCAAGCGGCGGACTGACAATTCCAATCACTTTCTCCTCTTGAACCTTCGCGCCTCTACAGTGAGCTCCGCCAGGTACCGGATAACCAAGAAGTGATGATCAGCTCCTCTTCCGACACGAGCATTATCCTCGAAGTGCTGGAGAGCGTTAAAGAAGGCGACGCGAACGAGAATATGGAGGCCGCGGTGCGGTGAGTCGCGTGAACTGCTACGAATTGGTGCGGATATTTGCAGTTAATTCAGAAGCAAGTGCTGATGCTTTCTCCGTCTTCAACAGATATCACTTCGACTCACTCGCGCACGACAATTCGGCGCTCTCCTCTACGATCGAATCGACGACCTTCCTTGACACCAGCTCCTTCCCTGTGCCACCTCCGCTGCCAGATGCGAGTTCCATCGTACCACGCGAGCGCACGCCGTCGCCATGGCTGGTGTCAGGCTTGCAGGTAGTGCCCAAATACGGGCGCACCACCGATCCGCCGCATTGCGTGCGCATCCACCTGGCAGTGTGGCGGTTGCGGCCAAAGAAAGACGTGGACCTCGTGCTGTCGTTCAACATCCCGCAGCCGCAGCCGCAACCGACGGCTGCAGGTGAGACAGCCGCAAATGCAGGCAGCGAAATGGTTTCAGAACATGTTTCGAGGGACGAGGCGATCCTGGCAGAGGTGTTCCGCAAAGCAGCGAGCACGCTGACGATCGAGGACTGGAACCTTTTCAGCTGAACTCCGAAAAGACTTTCACTGGTCTCAGTTGCTACCAACCGATCCACAAGCTCAGCAAGCCATTGTGGGGAGGCGAACGACAGCACCCTTATGCAGGCATTTACGACATGCACCGGGCGGGCGCAATGCGACAGGATCGGGACGAGACAATTGCTGTATGATACATAATGATTGGCGTGTGCAAAGGCAGGGTGACATCATCCATTCCACTGTTACCTGTGCGATTTTGTGTGGCACACGCCTCATTTGGCGTACTGCAAAAGAGCGAGCATCTCAATCAGGGGTTGTAGCCTCTCGTGTGGTTTCTTCGCAACAGGGCGCATACCTTCTGAGTCCACTCTGCAGCGTTCTTATCGAACAGGATGCGGTTCTTGTTGTATTCTTCGGCTGCGTGTACAGAAGACAGGATCCAAGGAAATGGTCCATCAGCGTGTAACTCGGGAGCGTTTGCCTCAGCCAGCTCACCTATCGACGCAACGAGGGCATCGTCCGGATTTGGCTCTTGTAGTAATTGCAGGATCGAAAGAATGACTGACAGCGAGTGAAATAAGAAGGAAAGTGAGCAGCCTGGGAGAATTCTCAAAAAGCAGGAAAAGACTGCACTGGCTCACTAGTTTGGGCCTTGGTGCTTGGCTTCCACGCTTCGCTCTTGACGATGCCAACGCACATGTTTCCGTTATCGTCAACATTCGGGTGGTAGATCTTGGTGTTGAACTTGACCTTGGGAGCTTTAAAGGGATATTCGATGGGGAAATCGAGTTGTAAATTGAACTTGCCGCCCTCATAAGGAGTTCCCGAAGGCCCGGAGACGATGGCCGTCCACCGGTAGATGTTGTCCCTGCATGCCAAAAAGTTACGCCGAGCTTGCAAGTTAGACAGACCTTCATTTCTATAGGACGCAAGGTGCAGCATCGCCTCACTCATTGGGCTCTATGACTGCAGTGGGTGCGATAGTAAAATGTGGAATCCAACGTGTTCACTGTCGATGCAAGCTGCTCGCCAACCGAGTTCTAAACTCACCAACATTGTCCACTGGCTCGTTCTGTAGGTCAGCTAGTTCCTGATCACACGAAGGAAAGAAGCATCAGCGATCCAATTGTCAGTGACCCATATATCAGAAGCAGCAACGTGATGCATGCATTTGCACCCCGCGGCGAAAGACATGCGCCGTCAGCTCACCTTGGTGATACGCTTCGGGTTCACCATGGTGCTTCCGACGAGCTTTGCGGGCTGCTCTTACTTTCACTCAAAGGAACAGTCGCGCATTCAAGACGGTAACTTTCTCCGCCACTTTGCGATGCCAGCAAGGAAGGTGCTGACAGCTGCAACAAAACAAAACACCAAGTAGCATCGAGGGAGTGGAGTGGTTACATACATCCGAGGACTGTGAGCAGTCTCGATGGCGGTCGGCGGAGCTGCACTACTTTAGACATGAGGTTGCACCGAATCACCCTAGATCAATTCGCAATCGACGCTCTCTTGGCCGAGAGACAGGGCCTTCGCCTTCATTGCGAGTATCTACATGCTAAAACAATCATGGAAATATGTACATAGGGGTATGTGCACAACGACAATGGCCACATAAGGAACGAGAGTCACGATCAGTGACGCGAATGGGCAACAAGGCATGTCCATTTCCAAGCTCGAAGATGTCTGCTTTTCCTTGACCGCTTGAACTCCTTCTGTCCCCCTGTTCACATCACAGTTCGGCACATCCTCGTCACGTTTTGTCGCCATCTTGGGATCCATCATTTCGTTTGCAAGATCTGACATGAGGTATACCAGTCGCACATGCTGTCTTGTTCAAATCTCGATGCCTAGAGCCCCAATCGACGTGCCTCCCCCTGGCCAGCCGGCACTCGCCATTCGCCAGTCGACCCGAGCTGGCCGGTGACTGGTGACATTTTCCTTGGATCTTCCCTTTGCCTCTCCATCCGTCTCGCTTCCCCTCTTCACGCGGCGGCATGCTCTTCGAGGCTCGAATGATTCATTTGGCAGGTCTTTGGGCAACGGCTGTGTGTCCGTGGGGTGCAAATTCCAATCTGCTGGTCGCCCTGATAGGCGAGCCTGGCCAAAATGCTCAACGGAAAATTGTCATCTGACGCTCTCTTTGCACGCCTTCCAGCTTAGTTACCTCCATCATCTTGGGAGCCGTTAACTTTGCGTGCACGGCACTCGGTCTGTGGCAGCTTGAAGGGGTGGGACGTCGTTGGCAGCTCTTCTATGGTGGTCTCTGGTGCTCGGTCTGGCTGTTCGTCTTTTGCCATCGTTGGGGTCGTCCCCAATCAGGGCACATCGTGACAGCATACTTGTTCATCCTCAGCTATGCGTCCACCTGGGCACCGGGTATCTAGTTGTGGCACGGTGAGAGCGTTGCGACAAGGACTCGTGCGAAGCTGGCAGCGCTAGCGACGACGAGCAACTGGATCTGTACCGCTTTGCTCGCCTACTCTACCTCGCTCATTACCGCCAAGATGGCTGTGCGTACGGTTTCAACTTCGCTGACTGCAACTGATCAACGCGCTCATCGCATTCTTCTTCGTCTATGAGACCAAGGTGAGCAGCGCGAGGGGGGAGGGTTGCCATTTTGCAACCAGTTGCCTGATTTATTTATGCGCGATTCCAGGAATTGTCGCTTGAGAACCTCGATGCGATGTGTCTGGATGGCAGCTGCAAGCCGTGGTACTCGATCAAGTGGTGACCCCCTTCCTCTCGGCGTAACTTCGCGCAAAGAATCCAAGCATGACACCGAAAACGAAGTTGCTGCTGTGTGCGCTAGCCAGAACGATCCAACGCTCGTCGACAATCCAGGTGGTGTGGAGCGCAGGGTCGAGATCAAAATGCCAGCAGGCGAAGCTCAAGACCGAAGTCCCTTGGCAGGCGCCTTTGGATTCGCGTTGGCCTTGAACCACTACTATAACTCGATCTACTCTATAGCACGCACGCATCGCTTCTATACAGCCTTCGCCCTCATCGCAAATCAAACTCGCAGCATCCAAATACCCCAATACACCTTTCCCTGTCTTCGTGTGGCCCCACCCTGATCTGTATTCGCACCAGGATATCAGCTGTCGCAATGCTTATCTCCACGCGCCATCCTTCTGCACAACGCGATCATCGGATGCCAGAGATAGATGAGCGCGATGCGTTTCTCCAATAGGCCAGACACTCAACGAGAGCGCATGGCCGCTCATCCCCCATCGCTTTTTAGTCTTCTGGCGGCAATAGCTGGTGAGGATCGGTGTCTTGCTTGTCGGAGACTTGGGATGCCTCATCAGTCATTGTGCTTTATTCGGGGTTGTATCGGCCTGCCAAGCCAATAGCAGGCTAGCCCAGGCAATACGATCTTCTTTTCTGGGAGCCTCGCTTCTTGCCAATCATATCCAGATTCCAATCGGGCCCCGCCTAGTCGTCCTTACTGTTGGCTTCAAACTGTTCCAGCAGGTTCCAGAATCCAGAATTCCAGCTTTCTGTTCGATACTCTTCAGTCCCCTCACGAGCTCGAGACACTCAGACCATTTCGTTTCGATCAGAGAGTCAGACGATCACTGCAGCCTTCCATATGCCGCCACGCATGCAATACGGTCGGAGTTTGAGGACAAGCCAGGGACAGTCTGGCGCCTCTGCGGGGCTCCACCGGGAGTGGCTGGTTGTGCCAACGGCGCCCTACAGCTTGCTCTTACGGCAGGTCCACACCAATGCTCCCTACTCATTACTCACTACCGACATCTGACTACTCAATACTTTTCACTGCTCACCTCCTCCCTTGTCCACACTCGGCAGGTCTGCATCCCGCAGGGCACAGGCGGCCAGATCAAAGCCCAGTTCTCATCACACATGCACCGTATGCATAATGTATTCATCGGTGAACGCAGGAAGGCGGGGAATTTTTGCAGCGCTGCTTGAGGCTAGTAATCGCAATTTCGCGTGCGCTCATGGGGAAAGTCTGCTTATGCTATCCTGTGCCATTGTGTCATAATTTATACTTCATGTGAAACTCATATGGTGCGACCGACTGTGTTCCACAAAGGAATTATGGCTCCGAGGCGACTCGTGAATGCGTCGTGGTTCTACTCTGGGCAATCTCAGCAGAAGGACAGTGAGAAAAAGAGCCTGCAATTGTGCTCAAAACTGTGGTTTCCCAGAGTTTGGGGGTTCGCCGGGACCTCTAAAGCATTGAGCCCACGATCCAATGACTACCCGAGAGAGGGCGCATGGGCGGAACTGCTCCAGATTTTTCTTTTCCTTTTTATTTTTTGGCGCAGTCGATGCGCAGACCTCTTTTTTATCCTTTGTACCGACTTTTTTTTATTCTTATCAACAGCCAAAAAAGTCGGGTGGTGCCACAGTCCAGCGTTGTGCTCCTTTCAGCGCTCGCTGAGTTGGGCCGGTCGCGGCTCTCCGTTTCCAGTTGCTGATGACGGTAGCTACCAGCGTTTGCCCTTTCCCCGGCTCGGACTTTTCGATGCTCTATTGAAGTATCGCATTAATCATCCTCCAACTTTGATGAAAGCCCACATTCACTCTCGTTTCCGTCGATCCAAAGCTTCAAGACTGCCAGTACTCGTCCAGGACAAACAGACGAATTTGCGTGCGAGAACCCTTTACGTGAGTGGCTGCGAGCCGATCTAGGAGCCGACGGTCATCCGTACGAGGCGGGGGCCTTTCTGAAAGGTAACGAGAAGACCCCAGATCACGAAGAAGTGATTGACAGCTTCACTCCTCTTCTCCTTTCCCTCGGGACGTAAAGAAGATCACCCAACGTAACCTAACCCCCCCTCCCCGGCCTGAGCACCGCCGCGTATTTACCCTGCGGCGGTAAAAGCTTCACAAGTGGAATCCTCAATAGAGTCCATCATCACCTCCTCGGTGGGTGCACCAGCATCGGCCGGCCTGGCGCAAGCACAGGCGAACGTCAACACTTCGCTTGAACAAGGCAGCGGCCCTTTCTCGTCCTGGCAGGACGTTGTTGGTAGCGCAGCGGCCCCGCCGTCGTCTGCGCTAGCGTTCCAGCAACCATCACATGGGCAACAGCAGCACCATGATATGGCTCAAGCGGCGCAGCAGCAGCTCTCGCTTGCGCAAGCTGAGCCGATGGGGCTAGCTACTATTCCACAAGGGGTCGTTCCACCGGATGACTTGCGAAAGCTCGACCCGACGCAGTCCGTGTCTCGTATAGACCTGATGCAGAACAGTCATCAACAGCTGCAGCAGCCAACAACTATGCTCCGGCATGCCCTCGGGCATAGACCGAGCTTGTCGCTGGACCTGGAGGGATTGCGTAATTTCCAGCGTTCGACACTGATCTCCCCAGTCGACGACATTTTGAACACCGGAAACAATGACAACGGCGTCCAAGGGCTTCCGACGCCTCAGCTTGATCACTCGCGCTCGGGCACCACGTCCGCTGCATCGAGTCGACGTCAAAGCGGATCGACCAAGGACAGGCCGATCGCCGGGCTGCCAAGACCGCGATCAACATCCCATCGTTTGACCAACCCAGAAAGGGCGTACGCGAGCAACCCGGTGTCTGCCGCCTTTGTCACCACCCCGCCGGTATTCACACCACAGGAATTCATTGCGGCCGCCAATGAGTTTCCCGGCTTTGCTCAAGCTGTTGCGGATATCCGTAGGAACGAGGCTTCAGCCGCGACTACCCTCGGGGATGCAAGCGCGCAAGCGATTCAACAACAGCAGCAACAGCAACAAGAAGCATTACATTCGCAATTGCAACCACAACAGCAACAGAGCTTGCAAGATCAGTTACTTTCGGGCATGCCGCCAGGGACGAATGGGCTCGGATTCAACGACCTCAACGTGCTCCAGCCCACATCCGCGACTGGCTCGTTCCCTGCGTCGCCCAATCACATAGGAACGCAGGCATTTGTTCCGACTCATGCTGGCTTGCAGACCGTTCCGCTGAGCTCTGCACCTTCCTCCGCTTCGACGTGTGTATCTCCAGTATTGCAGCAACAACAACAACAACAACAGCAGCAGCAGCAGCAGCAGATGCATATGCATATGCAGTTGCAGCAACAGCAGCAGGATTTTTCGACTCTGCAGCAACAGATCCACAGCGCCCCGGCTTCAGCTCATGGGTCGGCACCGCACTCTGCAGACCCCAGTCCAGCGATCGCTTCCATTGCCGTCATGAGTCCCGGTCAGTCCTCCGTCGTCGGGAGCGCTGGCCCGATGCAGCAAGCTTTCGACCCTCCTAGAAGCCTTGCGATCGCCAACAATTCCTCGGCAGCTCCTGTTTTGCAAATAGGACGCTCATTTGCCGATGTGGCACAAGCCCAAGCGCAGTTGCATCAACGGCAGCAGCAACAGCAACAGCAACATGAAACAGCACAGCTACAAGAGCAGCAGCAACAGGCCCAGATGCAAGAGCAGCAGACACAAGCGCAAATGCAGCAACAGATGCAGCAGCAGCATCAACTGGAACAGCAGGAACAGCAGCAGGAGCAGCAGGAGCAAGAGCAGCGACAACATGAACATCAGCAACAGCAGCAGCAAAACATGTCCAACTCTTTGTCCCATAGCTTACAATCAGTCCCCGCTTCTGCTCCAAGTTCAGCATTGTCGCAAGGGATGGTGCCAGGGGCTACACCAGGACAGCAAAATGATGCGCCTGTCACAAATGTAGCCACCTCCAATGGAGTGCCTGCCCCAGGATCGTCAGGGCAGATTCCATCTAGTGGCATGCAGATGCCAGCGGGAGCTGTCGATGCGATGAAGGCGCCTGGCGCGTCCATTTCGGCTATGCATGCGGCCTTATCTGCGATGGTGAAGTCCTTCCCAGTCAGCACCCCGCAGCCTCAGACACCTATTCGCGCAGCGACGAACGTTCCGGCAGATGCTGCTCAAGCTGGTAGCGGCGTTATTGGGCAGATTGGGCAGCTACTCGACAGCGTTGTGACCTTGGCAAACAGTGCACGCGCCCACTTCCAGCAGGGTCAGCATACAGACAGCAGCATCTGCCTCAGCGACCTGCAGCGGGCTTTGGCTCAAATTGGAGAGTTGGGATCGCGGAGTTTGGCAACTGTCAGAGCTGAGTACCCGCCTATGAACGATGTAGGCGTGGTCAGTGTGCCGGATCAGACGCCAGATGACAGCCCCACAACACTAAAGAAGAGACCAGTCCTTCCGGAAGAAGATATGATGCAGCCTTTCAAAACGTTGCGGGCCAGAGATGGGACGCACATCCAGCCTCCGCTCCCACTGCCATCAGCACCGCCTTTTTTGAGTACAGAGACGTTTACATCACAGCATGCTCTGCAGCCGCTGAATCCCCCGCAGTCAGCAATCACATTGCTGCAAGCTGCCTCTGCGCCGAACCCTCTCGAGTCCCACGTGGCTTCATCGGTTGGACCTGGGCCTGCATCCATATCTTCCAGTGGTGCCTCGCAGCTCGTTTCACCCGTCGCCCACGCCTTTCCGCACTCGGCGAGCGCCCAGCCCTCCGCCACAACCTCTCCGGCAGTCGCAAGTCCTTTTTGTTTTCCCGCGGTACCGCCGCATGCGCCAAAGCAACCCAGCAATCTCAATCCTGCTGGCAAGAGCGCTAACGTTGCTGGAAATGCGAGCGTGACATCCACACCTCCTGTCCGCATCACGTCGTCGCTGCCGACAGGCTTGGATGGCACTACTGGTACCATTCAGATGACGCAGACAGACCCTTTGGCCATGATGGCTGCTCCAAATCAAGCTTTTCAGACAACACCCCAGCCCGTGTTTGGTGCGGACTCGGTGAGCAGTTCGCCTGCCTTTCATGTGCCGCAGCTCAAGCTGTCGCAAGAAGGTCACACCGCTGAGAGTGCGGCGAGAAATGAACAGTTTGATGGTCACGCGGATGACGATGATTGGAGCGATCATGATGACGGCGGTGACGACCACGATCACGATCGTGACGACACATGGGACTGGGAAGAGTCTGGCTCTTCGTCGTTGCACCAGCTAGCGCCTTCACCCGACGCGCAGAACGGCCAGGCTAGGCCACCATCGGACCCGCTGCTGGCTGCCGAGTCTTCCCTGAAGCTCAACCTGAACCCCAAGGAAGATGGTGCGCCCGCCGAAGTGATCACTGGAGGTGCTGCTGTCGGCGACGATAAAGAGCCGAGTGCAGCGTCACAAGTTGGATCGGAGTTGAAGAAACGGCTGGATGCCATCTTCTGGGACTTTCTCAATGAGCTTTGCTCTAATCGTGAGCATGTCGTGCTGTCAATTAATTGGGCTGTGCAGACTGACATTTGCGCTGTCGACCTCTTTTTCAGTCGATGCCAAAGATCATCGCGGTGAACTGATACACCAGTCGCTCATGCCAAAGAAGATGGCGCGGCTCGAAGAATCGCCGGACTTCCGGCCCTTTCGTTTTCGTATTCAAGCATTCACGAATGCGTTTCAGGCTGAGATCTATCGTCGAGGCGTGAGCGAAACAGAGTGTGGCGTCAAGAAGGTCAAGCAGTATCTCTGGACCCAGAAACTGATCGCTCGGTACAACGAAGACGGCAAGAAGGCCAAGTCGAGGGGAAACCACATTTGGATCGTTGACGCGCGCAAGCTCCCCGTGGGAGGCTGGGAGTTCCGCGAGTTCCGCAGGCGCATAGCGGGGGTGCCCAAGCAGGCCTACTTAGGGGCTACGTGGCGCTGGCATCTGAGGATCTGGGATCCACAGGTACCTTCGTCCAATATTCGCGCCGTCTTCTCCGCGCCAACTCTGCCATTGTGGATTCGCTGGGAAGACGAGAATGACCGGCAAGTCCTCTTGGGCACACCATCCTCCACACAAGACAGCAGCTACCTGCGCGTCATTGCGCATTATGTTCACGGCAACCAGCTGCATGAGCTGGACCATGCTGTCAACCTCGAGATCCTCGAGCTGCAGACGGTAGATGGCCCGATCTCCATCATGGAAGCCCAGCAGCAGACGGATACTGCGAATGCAGAGCCGAGGGATCATGCGAATCTCCCTTCGACAGCGAACGATGTCGCGCCGTTCCAGATGGATGCCACCATGTCGGATCCCCAGGAGACTGTGCAGGAGGCCATCGTCGCTCCGTCGCAAGTGTCCAACGTGCTACAAGCCATCTCCTTCCCGTACACTCCATCAATCGTCAACGTCCCACACCAACAGGTTTTCCTGAATGGGAACGATGCGCAAGTGGTATCGCAGCCAAATGGGATGCAGGAATCTAGGCTACCGGAGAGTGGAGCAGTCTTCGGCGGAGCAGCCTTGCAAGCTGCGCACCTGCAAGCCACCATCGATAAATGTCAGCAGGGCGGGACCACGCCGCTCCTTCTCTCTCTGCCTGGCGGCGCGACGCGCGACGCATTGAGCACAGCCAACGGGTGCAGCACTTCTATGGCTTCTGTGCCAGGGCAGATAGCCGCCACGCTGTCACAAGTACCGCCACAGCCGAACGATGCAACACCTGCTCTGAATGCACACGCTCTCAACCCTATGCTATCACCCACTCTACCTATCAAGCTTGAGTCCAGTTCAAACTTGATGGACACTGAGAGCTCCGCCGCCTCTAACCCCTAGAGAATACCTCTCCCACCCTGCCCATCACCATGCGCACCCTTTCATCGAGCCACGGACACTTTACATGCTTTTTCTCGCTTCCTTTTCGGACACCTGTGGATATTATCAACTGCTCCCGCGGTCGTATCCTCTTCTTGTAGCCATACTTTTTGGGATCAACGACACACAGTCACGGGGCCTCGGTACGGGCCAACCATGTAGTAATGGAGACCCACATTCCCTTTTGCAATGCTATCTCTCAAAGATCACAGCTTGCTCGTCATATGCGACGCGAAATATCGGAAGGGCAACCGATGCAATATCTCCACTTGGCAGAGCTGGTGGTGGCCCCCGCGATAGGCTGAGATGCCGATCGTATTCGCTGGCATTCTCATCCCAGTATGGAGACCACCACCGTCCTTGCAGGAGTTCTCCGCGCTTGAGCACAAGTGCAGCAGCATCTCGCATGCCCCGCTCCCAGTCTTGCAACTGGGCGCTCAGGTCCCAGTGCTCCACCATATGTGTGAGATCTGTAAGGAGGGCTAGTCGTAGATCACGGATCGAAAGACTGTACTGTAATGCTTGGGCGATTGAGAAGTGTGATGTGTGCCTTTCCCCTGCAAGAGAAGTGACGGTTGCGTTCAGTCAGCTGCCTCAAGTCTGTTACTTGGCTCCAGTTTCGGGGCTGCGTGAACTTACATTTGAGCGCATCTATCACGAGCACCTTGGAGCCTTCTACCAATTTCGACGTAGCGTCGGGGATTTCATGGCAGTCTGAGATGTAAGAAAGCTCAGCGATTCTAAATCCGACAAACGCGAATGGATCTTTGCGATTGACAAAGCCATGTAAGACTGGCAATGGCATGACGTCGACCGTGTTGGTACCGCGCCCGATGGTGAATTTCTTGTTTGGGTCGATGATGTGCCATCGCAAGGCCCCGACGCCGCCACCGCCTTGTCGACGAATGGGTTTGATCGTCAGTTGTGGTTCCCTGTAGGGTTAATACGCTAGACCCACCCGTTGCTTTGGATCGGTCCACCAGGTACGGGAACATGTTCTCGACCACCGACATGGTCTCCTGCGTCAAATACACATCGACGTATTTCTGGACCATGTGTCCGATCGTCCATGCTCGCAGATGATCAAGGCCAAGGAGCGCGTCTGCGTGCGCGTGTGTAAGAAGGACGGCATCTATGCGTCGCAGGTTGTAGCGTGGGAAGCAGTAGATCGCGGAGGAGTAGAAGGTCGGACCACAGTCAATCAAGATGGTAAGTCTTGATTGGGGCCATCAGGTAGGAGCTAGTGTCAGTGCCTGGATTAGCCGCGAGACGGACTCTTATGAGCCTGCTCACTGGTCGTCATGTGCAGCGGATTTGCCTTTGCCTTTGCTCTTCCCACCGACCACGAGAGCCGACGTGCATTTCCTGCGATTCCTGCTCGCCTCACCGTACTTGAGCGCGTCGGCGCACGCAGCGCATGTTACGTTCGCACCAAAGCCGCCATCGCGCTCGTCCACGTCCTCATGCGTTATGCAATGGATCGCAGGCACCTGGCCAGAGGTACCCGTCCCGAGGAATATCAACTTGTCTATCCAGGCGGAGCTTAGCGGAGGGAGAGGGTAGAGTGTGTCGGGATGATCGTGCGGGTCGCCTGCTCCAGCTGCTGGTGGGTTTGGGAGCACACGAGGGCCTCCATTCGCTTGCGCTAGTTCTTTTTGGAATCCAAGAGCGATATGGTCTATTCGCATGGTGACCGAGGACCCTGATGGAGAAGAGCCATGCATGCCGTTCCTTCGCCCTACCTACGCAGATCTGCGCCGTGTGTTTTTTAATTTAGTGATGCGCAGCGCTCCCTTCCAGATGGCCATTCAACTGCAATGAGCGAGACAATGATAGCATAGACGAGCAGAGTGGGGGGTTATGGGTGCTTCTTTGGGTGACTGTATGAGTCGAACGTTGGATTGCGGATAAGGTAACCGCTTCATGGGGTCAATCGGTGACATGCTCGTCGCAACTCACGCGTCGCAGATGCAAAACGTGACGAACACCAACGCCAACATTCCAACGGCTGACCGTATCTTTTGGCTTTGACAGTATTGCACTTAGCTACGGCTGATTTTGAGCGGCCCCGAAACAGTTTGCATGCGCGCGTCACACTCGTCGATCTATTGGCAGCGGACATTGTACACGCGAAATGCTCGCAGCCGTCGGACAGATGTGCTCGACGGGCCAGCCGCTCGCTAACCTGAACGCGGCCGTGTCGATCATCTCCCGCGCGGCGGCCGCAGGCGCGGCGGCCGTCTTCCTACCTGAAGCGACCGATTTTATCGCTCCGGCCTCGCATGTCCCGGCGCTGACGCGCAGCGCGGAGAATCGCGCGTTCGTGGATGGGCTGCGCGATGCGGCGCGGAGGCATGGTGTGGAGATCAGTGTTGGAATACATGAGCCGCCGGCGTCCTCGCCTTCAGATTCAGACTCGGACGCGCAGGTGCAAGATGACAAACATAGAAAAGGAAGATGCTACAATACGCAGCTGCTGATCGGGAGCGATGGGAACGATGTTCAACGGTATCGAAAGGCAGGCTACATTTCGTTGCTGAACGCTGGACAGAGAACATTATCTGACGCAAATGATGCTTCTTTTGACGGTGACTATGGGATGCAGCTTCATCTATTTGACGTCGATATAAAGGGCGGACTGAAGATCCTCGAAAGTGACACCACCATCCCTGGCCGAGCATTATCCGACGCAGTCGACAGCAGGGTCGGCAAGCTTGGGGTACGCCCTTTTACACTGCAGGCTAGTGTAGCACAGCGCAGACCAGCCTAGCCGTCTGACATGGTTTATGCTACTGTTTCAGCTACTGACGTGTTACGACCTGCGCTTTCCGGAGCCGTCATTGTCCTTGCGAAAAGCGGGGGCGCAAGTGCTTACCTATCCGTCTGCATTCACTGTGCGAACCGGTGCGGCGCATTGGGAGATCCTGCTGCGTGCCCGTGCGATCGAGACGCAGTGCTACGTCCTTGCTGCGGCGCAAGTGGGTGAGTCGTTGAAGGCCGGGAGCCGTATCGCCGAACGAGGGCCACCCGGCAACTCTGGCCTTATTGACATTCTTTTCAACGCCCCTTTCCTCCACGGTGCGACGGACAGGCTCGCACGAAGGCACCAAGCGCGTTTCGTGGGGACATGCGATGGCCGTCGATCCGTACGGCTCTGTGATAGCGCAGTGCAGGTCAGTGAGACCTGGACGTGGCAGTTCGGGAACGGACGAGCGACCCAGAAAAGAGCGAACAGGCTTGGCTGACAATAAATACTCACCTGACTCGACTGTATTTGGCCTACTTAGCGATATGCAACCGTACCAACCGTCGTTCTGCCTCGCCAACATTGTGGGTTTACTCTTTCTCTATTGCTGCTGTTGCTTGTCTTTCCCAGCACGATGGGTGATGCATGCTGACTGTTGCTCACCCTGCCCACTGTGGCGACGGCAAAGCAGGACTTGGATCTCTTGGAGAATGTGCGAAAGGAGATGCCGTTGTGGGAGCAACGGAGACCCGACGTGTACAGTACTATCTGACGCGGATCATGATACATTTTGGTGAAAAGATTGTCCCAGGCAAGTCTGAAGGCCAGGGTTTGAAAGAAGGACCTGTCACACCGTATGTGCAGGTGTTCACAAGCTACGGAGGAGGATTCATCCGCGCGCTTGAGAACGCAAGAAAGGCCGCCCGCCACTTGCTCCGGCCGCGGCGATGGGCACCCGTCCGCACCCAATTTGCAGCCCTGTGCTAGTACAGACGCCTTTTCGCGGATCTATCCAAATGTCTTCCGCGAGCATTCCTGCCTCTCCACTGGATGGCACGTTTTCATGACCCACGGCGCAGATGGTACTGGATGCTGGAGTAGCTCTTCGCCAGACACCTCGAGAATGCGCGGGCGGACGGACCACTGCTGGAGGCGTACAGAGGTCGCCCCTCTCCAATCACTTAATACATACTATTCCGCTGCTCAAGATCATCGGTGGCGACGAGAGACTCGGAATCCCCCGAGACTCAGTTGTAGCCAGCCACGAGACTTTTCGAAAGATCCCCGATTCTTCTATGCTCGGACTTTCGGGCTGGCCGGTATTTGAGCAATTTCCCCTCCTTTACCCCGCTTTCTGGATTCCGCCTGGGCGGAGGTGCGAGTTTGCCTGGGTTTTGCATCAGGGTGGCTGCTAGGGAGTGTGCCTGTGCAGACTTGGGTGTGTTCGTACATAGGGAGTGCAGCACGGTGGCAGCCAGCGGCGGCACAGATGGGTGGGGGTCCGCGAAAGCTCGTCGCCTGGCAGGCTCCCGTGGGGCGTGAAATAGACAGGAGAAAGAAATGTGGCCGCCGAGAGAGTCGAGCTGCGGCATGGCATGGAACAAGACGCTTTGGAGAGAAAGGCAGCAAGAACGGAGCATGTACATACAAGTGGTGTGTGGGATTGTGTTGTGTTCTTATATATGCCATGCATGTCAACAGGTGATCTCCAGGGCGGAGAGAGCAGACAGGCACAAGCAGGCACCGACAGGCACCACCCGGGCGGGCACCATCGGCATCCAGCAAAGCATCCCCAGTCCCCGCTCTGAGCGCTGAGCCTGATGGCGAACCCGGCCGGCAGTCGGGTACCAAGTGGTGTATGGAACCCCAGACGACGTCCTCTCCCATCCCTTTGACGGCGTCGAGCTGACTGGCTAACTTCACAACAAGCAAGTGTCGATGGAGAGATCCCATATACAAGGTGGACTGACGCGGCTGGGGCCGCCAGCACGAAAGGGTGGTGGGTACTGCGCCCGTGTGAACAATTTTAGTGCTGGTGGAGAGTGCGGCACTGTAGCAGTGTTGTGCGCTGGCCTGCAACCCTCCATGTTCATTCATACACAGCATGCTCAACAGTAATACCAACCCTTTGCCATTACCAGCGGCCGCTCATCTACTGCTCTGCTTTGCTTTGCTTTTCTGTGGTTGGCTTGGTGGCCGTAGTCTGCACGCACCGCAGTCTCGCAGCAGAGAGAATCAGGCCCCGAGGGACATCTGGTGGCGGCGCAGCCAACCAGCCTCCTCGGCGTCCATCGCGACAGACACGCACGCACTCTCCTTCTGGGCACTCATCCAGACCCGGCGTCTGTACGGCAGACTTTTGCTTGATTCCTCGCGCACTGCAGACAGCGGCTGCAAACCACAACCAGCAGCAGCATGTACGCCGGCCACATGCCACCGCTGCCGCCGGCGGGCAGCCATCACTACGCTGGCTATGGCCCATCCTCCTCTGCTGCGCCCTCCTACTCGCATCCTCCCCCACCCAGCATGACACATCCAGCCCACGCCGCTGCTGCTGCCGTCGCCGCGGCTGCAGCTGCACATCAGCATCAGCAGCAGCAGCAGCAGCAGCATGACGCACACATGGCCGCACAAGCAGCAGCCGCACACCATCCGCATGCGCAGCAATCTGCTGCGCCAGCGCCAAGCTCACTCTCGAGCATCTACGGCTTCACGTCTGCCGCGCGCATGGGCTTCCCGCAGTCCAATCAAGCTGGCAGCGCCTACGGCGGCTCAGCTGGTGCACAGCAGACCCATTCATCTACTGCAGCAGGAGCAGGTGGTGGTGTGGATCACCAGGCATATCATGCCCACTACGGCGCGCAGCCGCTGCACCCCGCCGTCGCCTACCCGTACCCTTCCTACGGCCCGCCCGGCGCAACTTCAGGTGGCGGCTACTATTCGCAGCACCAGCACCACCAGCAGCAACATCAGCCACCACTGCCGAACGCAGGCTCACCGTATGCCGCCGCCGGCTACGCCGGTTACCGTCCCGCCGCGAACGGCTATGCGTCCGCGCCGCCACATGGCGCTGCATATCCGCCTGGCGGACTCGGGTCCGATCTCAACGCCGCTGCTGCTGCTGCTGCTGGCATCGGCAGTGCAAATCACCAGACCCACCAGCACCAACAGCACCACCCACAATATCACCAGCAACACCACCAGCAGCACCCCCACATGTCCGACACTGCAGCGCTTGCGCTTCCTGCCACTCCTGACTCACCCACGCAGTCGCCGCCTTCAACAGCAGCAGTAGTATCCAAGCGGCGGAAGAGCAACAAGGGTACCAAGTCCTTTGCAGCGGCTGCGGCATCCGAAGCCGAAACTCAAGCTGAAGCTGAAGCCGAAGCCGCCACTACTGCGTCTTCCGCTGCGAAGAATGGGTTAGGCCTCGCGGGGAAGAGGCGTGGCGCGAAGGCAAAAGCGGTGCCGGCGTCTGCCGCTGCCAGCACCAGCGCCAGCACCAGCACCAGCGCAGGGACAAAGTCTCAGCACAAGAGAGAAGGACGTGCCGGATCTGGAGCCAGCGCAGGCGCAAGCGGGAGCGCGGACGCGGACCGAAAAGGCGCCAAGAGTGGCGCTGTTGGCGCAAAGGAGACGGGCCTCGATTCCGATGATCCTTCAAAGCTGTCCGGGACGGTGACCATGTTCCAGTGCACCGGATTTGGGGACTGCAACATGGTGTTCACGCGCAGCGAGCATCTGGCTAGGCATGTTCGGTGAGTGTTCCTTTTGTTGTGCATTTAAAATGCAAGAGCAACAGAGGTGGCGGCGCTGCTGGCGTGATGAGTGCTGACCCCTGTCATCCTTGGCTTGCACGTCTGCCCCTTTGTGCCCACAGCAAACACACCGGCGAGCGACCATTCCGGTGCCACTGCCTCAAGTCGTTCTCACGCTTGGACAACCTGCGGCAGCACGCACAGACCGTACATGCCGAGACTCCGGAGCGCAACGAGCAGATGATGCAGCAGCTCATTGCGCTGCATGCGTCGCTCGCCGCATCCGCTGCCCAAGTGCAGTACGCCCACCAACAAGTCCTTGGAAAAGCCAGCCCGGCAGACGTCCCGCTCAACCACAACTCGCGCCGCAACCGCGGCGGCGGAAAGGGAAAGCTTGGCAAGAAGAACCCCAAGAACACGTACGTCCCTGTCCAGCTCGTCGCGGACGGCAGCGCCAATGCCGAGAGCCCAGGGTCAGGCGCAGCGTCAGGCTCAGGCGTAGGAGTAGGCTCATCCGGAATGCACGCGGGCAAAGTCTCGCCATCCACGCGTTTCCAGAGGCACAGCAGCATGACCGAATTGAGCATGCTCCCGCCCGCAGCAGCGCGCAACCCCATTCTCCCGCCTCCCGGCACCGCCCTGTACGATGGCAGCAGCTGCAGCGGTGGCGGACAACCAAGCTCACACGCAAACGGCGCCGCAGTGTCCGCAGTGTCGCTGCAGCACCGCCACTCGATCGCGCATCCGCATATGCCCCCTGCGCACGCTAGGTTCGACTCGGCGCACGACGACACCGCCGGATACGCCCGGTACGACCCGTACTCTGGCGCGCCAGGCTCGGCCGGCGCGGGTCCCTCTGGTAGTGGCGGTGGTGGCGCCGCCGCCGCCAGCAGTGGCCCAGGGGGTTCAGGCGTCTACTTTGGATACGAAGACCAGCCGGCGCCAAGCCCCGCTGGTCCAGGCGCGTCGGCATCCGACCCGTCGTACAGTGTCGCCGCCGGAGGCTACGACGTATACAGCGACCCGTCCAGCGGCTACGGCGCCGCGACGGACTCGTCGGCCGCCGCATACGCACCCTTCTACCCCGCGCGAGGACCCGCTGCGTACGGCTCCACGGCCCCTATCCCGCCCAGCGACCCGCACGCGCCTGCGAACCACTGGGCAGACGGCCCAGCCCCAGGCGCAGGCGCCGCTCACGATGGCGGCTACGCTGCCAATGGCTTTAC